GCACATAGAGAGGGATTGGCCTTGGCAAGAAGGGTTGCCTCGTTATCAGAGGAAAGGTGGAGCTGGGGATGATGAAAAGAGGGTTTTGAGATGAGGAGGGAAAATGATGGAGCTCATGCTGAATGGCCTCAATTAGTCCAGTAAAGTAAGAAGTGAGGTCCTCAGCTGAGAAGGCTGTGGAGGAGGTGTGGGAGGCCAGTGGAAGAAGAAGTTTCTGTGGGGTGTGGAAAAGTGAATCAATCAAGGTGGATTAAAAGGATTTCCTTCCTGCATGGAGGGCCCAGTTGAGATTAAATAAAATAAATATGCAGCGTAAAAGGAGGTACAACAGTGGTTCTGGAGGACCCATTTAAATGTGTAAAGGTACCTTCAAGGTACATTCAATGACCAAACCTGAGCCAGAAAGTCCAGATATGAGAATGCACCTCCTTCCTTCTTTACAGAGGTCAGATACTCTAGGTGTGCGTGGAGGTGTTGGTTACCTTTGCTAACCAACCTTCTTTTTTCTCTTCCTTTTTTATACTCTCTTATAAAGGGTGACTCTCTAGGTGGGAGGATGGGGGACCGATTGGGCAATGGAGATAATGTGAAAACAAAAGATAGCAACAGAAAATTTCAAAAAATTTACAAAGTGTTTTGTTTTTTTTTTTTTAGATGATGTAAGTGTTTGCTACACCTCATGATAAAGGATGGAATGAAGAGAGACGCAAATCTGGAGAGTTGGCTGTACGACGACCAGAAAGGAAAGATAAAGCTTCTCTAAGATGATGGTACACATTGAAAGGAAAATGGAACTTGGCTCCCAGAAATGACTTTGTATCCATTGACTTTGGATGTATTTACTTCTTTCTCCCCTCCCCAGTAGAATGTAAACTCCTTGAGGGCAGGGATAGTTTCATTTTTGTCTTTTTGTCTCCATAGCCTAGCACAGGGACTGGACTATAATGTTGTTCAGTCATTTCAGTTGTGTCCGACTCTTTGTGACACCATTTTAAGGTTTTCTTGGAAGAGATGCTGGAATGGCTTGCCATTTCTTTCTGTAGCTCATTTTACAAATATGGAAACTGAGGCAAATGGAGTTAAGTGACTTGACCAGGGTCACACAGCTAGCAAATGTCTGAGGCTGGATTTGAACTCAGGTCTTCCTGACTGCAGTCCTGAAGCCCTAAAAACTGTGGCATGTAGCTGCCTATTTCATACTGAATTTTCATGGCTACTTTTCTGTTCCCAGAAGGTTCCCAGAGAGGCACAATAATAAAAGCACTAGATTTGGAGTCACCGAAATTATATCCCTGAAGAGATGTAGAAGACACAGTGAGTAAAGCGCTAGGCCTGGGTTCAAATCTTGCCTCACACACTTACCAGCTATGTGACTGTCTAAATCATTTGGCCTCAGTCTCTTCATATGTAAAATGGGGATAATAATATATATTATATATATATATATATTTTTTTTTTTTTTGAGGCAACGGGGTTAAATGATTTGCCCAGGGTTACACAGCTAATAAGTGTCAAGTGTCTGAGGCCAGATTTGAACTCAGGTCCTCCTGACCCCAAGGCTGGAGCTCTATCCACTGTGCCACCTAGCTGCCCCAAGGGGATAATAATATCTTACAGAGGTGCTGTGAAGATTAAATGAGTTAATGTTTGTAAAGTGCTTTGCAAACCTTAATGTTAACTATTATTCTTATTAACCCAGCTGGGTTACTTACCAGCTGTGGGATCATGTTTATCTATGCCTCAGTTTCCTCCCTTGTAAAATGAGGGGCTTGAAGTAGATATAGATGACCTCCTATGATTGTAGGGGCCTCTCTCAGGGACATAGATCTGGTCAGTTGTCAGAGGCATGATTCACACCCAGGTCCCCGGACTTCAAGCCTGGTGACGTTTTCTCTAGCTTTTTCTAGCTGCAAAGTATCAGAGCTGGGATTGGAACCCAGGTCTCCTGGGAAGGGTCCTTTCCACTCCATGGCCTGGAGAACTCCAGGGAATATGTCTCCTTTCCCACTTTTCTGCCTAAAAGAGGGTTCACTCCTGGTACAAAAGAAGAGTCATTAGGAAGGTCTCTGGAGACCATCCGAGTGATTTTTTTCCTCCTCTTTAAAGAAAAGTTATATTGATTAGACCCAAGAGAACATTTAAAAAAAAAATTGCCCCAAAGTGTTTCTCATAGTCATGACCTTGTCCTGAATGCAGAGAGTCTGGACTCTTCACCAAAACAAAGCTACGTTAAAAACTCTCCAGATACTCAGGGACTTGGTCAAATATCCTCTCCTCCAGCCCCCAGACAGCAAGATAACACAGGCATTCTCCCCATTTGCTTTTAATTAGTAAATATAACACACACAGGCTTTTGTCACTTGGCCTCCCCTTTCAGGGGACTAACATCCTCCCTGGAGGAAGAAACAGGATACATGAGGGGGCTAGTGCAGGATGGGGCTGGATCTATACAAGGAAAACAAAAGCAATTTTATATATAATTACATATCATGATAACAATCATCTAGGTCATAATTCGAGCCAAAGACCTGCTGCTCTGAAGTCAAAAGGAAGTCTTTGGCCCAGAATCATTCTGGGATGTTTGTCTGGTAGTTGAAAACCAGCAGCTATCCCAGATAATGAGAGCCATCACAACCCGGCTTGTTAGTAGTCTATCAATCAACAAGCATTTATTAAGCCCCTGCTGCGTGCTAGGCAGTAGAAAGACACAAGCGAGGCAGCAGTGAACATAAGACGCATCTGGTAGAACGTGAACTCAGTGCCCCACTCTCACTCCTTCCAATCCACAACGCCACAGACTCAGGGTCACAGATTTAAAGCTGGAAGGGAACTCTGAGGGCATTGAGGCCAACTCCTCCTTTCACAGAGGAGGAAACTGAGGCCCAGAAAGTTGAAGGGACTTGCCCAAGGTCACACAGATAGGGCCAAAGCTAAGACCTGTACCAAGGGCCTCAGCCTCTGAATCCAGGAACCTCTTAGGCATGGAACAAATGCTGTATGACTGACTACCATGGCAATAGTCCAACACCTGTTAGGATGAGTCTGAAGTTCAAATCCTGGCTCTGCCCCAGACTACCTATGTGACCTTGGGCAATAGCACTGGCTCTGGAGCTACAGACCCTGGGTTCAAATCCTGCCCCTGAAGCTTACTACCTATTACCTTGGCCAAGTCACTTTTCCTCTCAGACTCAGTTTCCTCATTTGTAAAATTAGGAGATTGGACTAGATGGTCTCTGAGGACCCTTCTACCTCTAGGTTTACAATCATTTGATCTCTCCTCTGCTGCAGATAGCAGCCCCTCTATAATTCAGTAACATAGTCTTTGATAGATGTTGTTGCCCCTACACTCATCACCCTTTTTGGCTAGGCTGGCTTTGCTGTAACTATAGACAAATCACTGGGTCTCTCTCTATTATATATGTATATATATACATATATATATATGTATATATATATATGTATACACACATATATCTCTCCAGTTTTTCCTCTCTTTCTTTCCCTCTTTCCCTTCCTTACCATCTCCTTCTCCCTCTCTCCTTCCCTTGTTTACCATCTTTCTCTTTTTCCTTCCTACCTCCTTCCCCCTCCTTCTCTCCTCCTCCTCCTCTTCTTCTTTCTCTCTCTCTCTCTCTCTCCCCCTTCCTCTTTTCCTCCCTCCTTCTCCCCTCTTTCTCCTCCTACGCCTCTCCCCTCCCTCACTCTCTCTTTGTCTCTCCCCCTCCCTCCCTCTCACCCCCCTCAAATTAGGTAAGTGTTAGACTGTTCCCTGGTCAGGTATTCTAATAACCTGAGAAAACCAGGCTATGGAGAAAAGATCTGTAAGCAGCCTTGACTCTCTGTGGGACCCCATCATAGTACTCCTTCCACAAGCAATCACTGCCATTATGGAAGCATCAGGAAACAAAGTTGGAGGTGGGAAACTGACTTCACTTCTCAGTGGAAACTGACATAGTAGCATGAGGATTCAGAGCCAGGAGGGGACCTTCTAGACCCCATGGTGTGGGGGATCTTCTCATTTGTGTCTTGGACCCCTGTGACACTCTGTCTGATGAAGTCTTTGAACCTTTCCTCAGAATCATGTTTTTAAATTCATAAAACAAAATACATGTGATTACAAAGGAAATCGGTTCCAATGGAATAGTTATCATTTTTTTTGAAGTTCATGGTGAAGAACCCCCTGCTCTAATCCAGCACTCTCCTTTTACAGATTCAAAGACCCTTCACTGAACCCCCTGAGGCCCTTGGCTGAGAAGACACACAGCTTTAAGTAGCAGGACAAGGACTTTAACCCAGCTTTCTTTCTACAGTATGAAGCTGCCTCTGGTTGGTTATTCTCAGTTCTAAATTTCTGCTGCTCATTTTAAGTAAGATATAGTGGATAGTTTCACTGAGTCTTCATGAAAAGAGAAACTTGGAAATATGTCCCCTCTCCCTTCCCCTGCCACTCTGTCTCACCAAACTTTTCCTTCTATTCCCCCGCACAGCACAGCCATCAAAAAGTCACATCCAATTATCTCCAGTGGGTTACTGTGGGGCAAGTTTTAATTTAGCCAAAAGTTAGAGGGACAGGGAGAGATCATCCAGAGAAGAACGTGAAAGGTGACACCTCCCCAGAGGAAGGGGAGAACGGTGATAAAAAGAGATGGAGGGAAGGAAAGTTTCAAATGCATTTTGATTTTCTCCCCCATCTCCAAACATCCCATCCCTCAAAGAGATCATTAACATTCTAAGATGTTTTATTTTCTGTTCAATGCTGCAAAATTCCCAAGGGCTAGACATTTCACCAAGCAGGATCCAGACAGGCAGCTGGTAGAAAGACTTCCCACCCAGCTCATCAACAGTATTTATCCAATGCCGACTCTGGCAAATTAGCTCTGGGCTGTCAGCTTTAGATCACAGTCACCGAAAGCCAGGAGTCCATTAGAGTTCTAACCTAATTTGCAAAGAGAATGGTTGAGGCAAGCTTTGTCCTTTTAAGGATTCCCTATTTTCATCATCCATCCATTGACCTATACATCTCTCTCTATAATTTACCATCGTCTCTTATGGATGGAAATTCGAGATGTTAGTTTCTTTAAAGTGTCTAGAATAATGACTGTATTCTAGGATTCTGTTGGCAGCCTGTCTTTTTTCTTTCCTACCCTGTTTTCCAATTCTTTTCTCCCACCCCTTACTATCCTAGGATGTTAAGTTAACAGGAATGTACCTGCTTTCTTACCCTCATGCTTTTCAGAGAAAGATGTACAGGAAAAGATACTACTTTAAAAGTCCCTTTTAGTTGCTGGCATATAACTGTTTAAGGGGGGAAACCCCTTAGAGCAAAAGAACAAAAATACCTTTTTCCCCCCACTGAAGCAGTCATTTCTTTTTTCCTCCCGAATATCTTGACCACCAAAATGGAAACTCCTCGGATGAGTTTTTGACAAATAGGTAGGAAAATATTTAAAGCAGTCCAGAAAATAACGCCCTTCCCCCAAGATGATGCTTCCTAGCAGCAGACCTCCTCACACTCGCTGTATGGAGAAGAGGCTGGGGAGGCCTTGGATTCTCCATCGCTGTTGCACTCTGGTCTTGGGTCAGCGCTGGGCATGGCTGGGCTGTCTTTGGTCTTACTGCAAGCTCCCAAAGAATGAGAGTCGAGCAGATTCTGGAGATGTTTGATGTAGCCGATGGCAGCTCGGAGGGTCTCCACCTTGCTGAGGCGCTTCTCCACCAGCTCCCGGGGCAGGTGGTCCCGGAGGCGAGCGTATCCCTCGTTCACGCAGCGCACTCTTTGCCTTTCCCGCTCGTTCCGCTTTTGGATGAAGGCTGGTTCGAAGGCACAATCTAACACTCCGAGCTGTCCCGGCAGAGGAAAGCAGGCGAATCTTCCCGAGCAGCCCCTGTAGTAGGCCCGGTCCCAGTAAGCACCGTCTAGGTGGAAGGAGACATGGAAAGGTTCTCTCAGAGACAGTCTGGTATGATTCCCTGGCGTGGTCGTGGATGTGGCAGTGAAGTGGCATGGTATTCTTTTCAGGGTGCCATCAGACTTACTGCTCTCCATTATTTGCTGAAAAAATGAATCACCAAAGGGACTGATTTCCAAGCAGGAGTAGATTATCTGCAGAGACCTAAAGCAAGACCGCTATTTCCTAGTCTGTCTTAGGTGAAGAGCTGGGGTCCAGGCAGGAATCAGCAAACTCAGGTGCCCATGGAGGTTTCAAGGCAACTTTCCATGACTTAAAAAATTCACTGTACTCTGAGGTCTTTATATAAGGATCTGAGCTGAGTTGGTAGGCAAGGTTTTCAGGACCACTAATCCATACTTTAAACCCACCTTTCCCCCACTCTGATCTTCTTATTTGAAAAGATAACAAAGGGTCTCCTACATTCTGTCCGTTAGCCTGGAAATGCCAGCTCACACCCAACACAAAGTAATCTTCCCAAGCTACCAATGCTTTTCAATTATTATAACCCACCGAGTCGAGGTCTTCAGGAGATGAGTAGCTCGCAAAGCGCACAGGAATGTTCGGGTTTGGGAGAGCCCCGCCCAGGAACCCAAGGATCTGCTGTCAGGCCGAGAAAGAGTTCACCGGAGGCTTTTCTCCTTGAAAATCAAAACCCAACTGGAGCCTTTGTGGTTTCTGGTGTTCGGGGCTAATGGGAAGAGCTCTTAGACTGTTTGCAAACTTAAAACTCGCTCTTTCATTCCCAGGGAGGTGGAGGGGGGGGAGGGGAATCATCAAAGGAAAGAGTGCTCTCTTGTGGTTGTAAGGTGTGTCAAACCCAGGAGGACCCCGGGGGGAAACGGGAGCCAGGCCTCCCTCTTCAACCTCAGAAATCCAGGCCTAATTTGTCCAGTTTAGAGGGGGCAGAAGATACATTTTAGCAGTGACTGCATGTATGAAATCTATTCCCAATTAGTCAGGTTTAAAGGGGACAGGAAAACTTTTTTTTTTTGCTATGATTACAAATAGGAATTCTCTTCCTTTTCTTCCAGACGTACTGTCAATTAAGGAAGGAAGGAAGGAAGGAAGGAAGGAAGGAAGGAAGGAAGGAAGGAAGGAAGGAAGGAAGAAAAAAAGAAAGAAAAAGAAAGAAAGAAAGAAAGAAAGAAAGAAAGAAAGAAAGAAAGAAAGAAAGAAAGAAAGAAGGAAAGAAAGAAAGAGAAAGAAGGGAAGGGAGGAAGGAAGGAAGAAAAAAAGGAAGGAAGGAAGGAAAAGTTGTGAAGCTCAAGTCCCTATAAGATACTGAAGTTTTCTGAGAATGTAACTGCTATGTTTCTGGAGAGATTCGTTGAGTCAGAGGACCCAGGATTGAATCTGGTCTCTGGCTTTACTACCTATGTGACCTGAGGCAAATCACTTAATCTAAGTGAAACTTCTTTTTCCTTATCTGTAAAATGAGCTATGGGTCAAATGACTTTCTAGATTTAAGGAAGGAAGAGAGGGAGGAAGAGGAGAGAAAGAAAAAAAACCAAGAAACTGAGAAAAAGAAAAAAGAGAAAAAGAATGAGACAAGAGAGAAAGAAAATGAGAGACAGATAAAGCAAAAGAAAGGAAAAGAAAGAGAAAATGAGAGGAAAGAAAGAAAAAAACAAGAAAATGAGAGAAAGAAAAGAGAAAAATGGGACAAAGAGAAAGAAAACAAGAGAGAAAGATGAAGCAAAAAAAAAGAGAAAATGAGAGAGGAAAGAAAAAGGGGGAGTGGAAGGAAAATCATCAAAAGGTCCCACTGTAACAAATGCCGCCCCAGTTCCCCCGTGCTTACTGTAAACATCTCTAAGTGAAGTTCCTCCAACCTCCTGTAATCCCACCCAGAATCCAAGGACCCCATCCTTCCATAGAGCACAGGGAGCTATTTCCTTTCTTTTCAGTGTTTAAACACACTGACCCTAATTGCGCGCGCGCGCGTGCACACACACACACACACACACACACACACACACACACACACACACACATGCAGATAATTTATTTTCCCCTTGGGGGTGAAAATGCTCTACTTGAAAGGCTGGGAGTCCCAGTTCCAGGGAGAACCAAGGCTGACTTTGAAGAGTTGACTTTTTGCCACACAACCCAAAATGACTAATTAGTCTATTCGTGTAAGCGAAGGCTTTTGAAGATGAAAGTCCTGTAAAGCTTAATTGTATCATCAGTGTCCAGGGATGTGTGTGTGTGTGTGTGTGTGTGTGTGTGTGTGTGTGTGTGTGTGTGTGTTTCACACTTCTCAAACATTTTCAACTTCACAAATCTATCAGAAAAACCAACGGGGGCCACGTGCCCCCTAACTTTGTACATGGACTTTCTGCTTGTAGGTCACATTCATGGTGTGGCCCCAACATGCTCCTGCTCACGTCCTGTATTTCACTGTTTACTCTCGAGGAGCTGCCTGAAGCTACTGAAAAATTCTTCCAGAAAGGCAAATGAAAGGGAAATAATTATCCCTTTCAGTTACAGGTTAGTCACCTTTTTATGATCTAACTTACCCTGAGATTGGTCCTGGCAAACATCAGGAGTCTAGGAGACAGGCATAGGATCACAGGGTCACCTACTGGCATCTAGAAAGTCATTTGACCCAAAGGGTTTATTTTACAGATAAGGAAAATGAAGGCCCAGTTAGATTAGGTGATTTACCTGAGGTCACACAAGTAGTAGTGGCACATCCCAGATTCAATCCCAGGTCCTCTGACTCTAAAAACATATGAGACACATCTCAGAAAATTTCAGTGTCTTACAGGGACTTAAGCTTCAGAACCCTCTGCCTGGATTTCCAGTGCCTCCATGTTCACCATAACCTCTCCATGCCCTGGGCAGCTCCCCAGATGATACATTGCAGAGAAGATGCCAACCTTCATCAGCAGAAGAGGTTTCCTTATCCAGAAGCTCTCCGCACCAGAAGTGTCAAACACCAGATTAAAATGTAATTGGAAATACTTTTTTAAATTAAGGAGTGAGGGGGCAAGTAAGGGAGAGAATTTAGAATTCAAAATTTTTTTAAAAAATGATAAAAAAATTTTTTACATGTAATTGGAAAAAATAAAATACTTTAAAAATAAATACTTTAAATATTTTTATTAAAAAGTAGAATAGAGGGGTAGCTAGGTAGTGCAGTGGATAGAACACCAGCCCTGGATTCAGAAGGACCTGAGTTCAAATCCAGCCTCAGACACATAGCACTTACTAGCTGTGTGACCCTGGGCAAGTCACTTAACCCCATTGCCTAGCCCCCCCCCAAAAAAAGTATAATAGAACATAAAGTTAATGAAATCACAGAGCCATATCCTATCCTTAGCCTTCCTAGCCACTCAAGATCTTCTAATGTTGTTTTTTCTTCCTATTCTTTTACTTTGTTCATGTTCAGTTTTATAATCTGAAATCTCTACTTGAAGTACTGCATTTGAAATCCTCAGAGATAAAGGGAAACAAAGGGAAGGGAACAGGATTTATTAAGTGCCTACTATGTGTCAGGCAGGTACTGTTATGTGCACTTTACAAATATTGTCTTATTTGATCTTATCTGCTATGCAAATATATAAGACCAAGAACACTTATCTAGTAGATAAGTAGTCAATAGATATGAACAAACACTTCTCAGAGGATTGTCAAACTATTAACAACCATTTGAAAGATTTCTCCAAATCACTAATAAGAAAAATGGAAATAAAAACTCTGAGGTTTCACTTCACACTTTAGCAAAATGGCCAAGATGACAAAATATGGAAATAGTCAATGTTGGAGGGATGTGGAAAGACAGACACACTAATACATAGTTGGTGGAGTTGTGAATTGTTCTAACCATACTAGAATGCAATTTGTAACTGTGATTTCAAAAAAAAAAAAGATGACTAATATTCATACTCTTCCAAAGATCCCACTGCTTAGGTATATACTCCAAGGAGGTAAAAGACAAAGAAGCTCCACATACACTAAAATATTCACAATACTCTTTGTAGTTGCAATGAACTAGAAATAAACCAGTTGCCCATCAACTAGGGACAGCTAAACAGATTGTGGTACATGAATGCGACAGAAAAATGATTGTCCCATACGAAACAACCAAAATAAGGAATTCAGAGAAGCATGGGAGGAATCCTATTAACTGATGGACAGCAAAACAAATAGAACCAGGAGAACAATGACTAACAATAATGTAAATAAAAACAACACTAAGGGACAGCTGACCTTGACTTAATTGCAAGGACCAATCTTGGTCCCAGAGGACAGATAATGGAAACATACTTCTCATCTCTGAGTAGAGAAGTGGGAAGCTAAAGGGAAGAAACACTATCAGTCATGGTCATTTTGTCAAAAGGTTTTGCTTAAGTAATTTTCCTTTTTACAAGACACTCCAATCTCTTGACTCGATGCATTTTCACTGGCTGCCGCCCCCATGCCTGGAATGCTCTCTCTCCTTTTCTCTGCCTCTTGGCTTCACTGCCTTCCTGTTGGAGAGATGTGGATGTGGATGAGCCAAAGCCCCAACCTTCTGCCAGAAACCTTTCCCAGTCCTTCTTAAGGGTAATGCCTACCTTCTATGGTTATCTCTGTTTTCTATATATCCTGTCTGAACACATACAGACATATAGTCTCCCACATTAGACTGTGAGCTTCTTGAGAGGTGGGACTGTCTTTAGCCTTTCTTTGTATCCCCATGCTTAGCATAGTGCTTGGCACACAGCAGGTGCTTAATCAATGCTTGTGGTAGGTAGGTGACGCAGTGGATAGAGTGCCAGGCTTAGAGTCAGGAAGACGAGTCTTCCTGAGTTCAAATCCAGCCTTAGACACTTACTAGTGACCCTAGGCAAGTCATTTAACCCCATTTATCTCAGTTTCCTCATCTGTAAAATGAGCTAGAGAAGAAAAGGGCAAACCATTTCAGTATATTTGCCAAGAAAACATGAAGAGTTAAGATACAACGACTAAACAACAATCAATACTTGTTGACTTGACAAGGAAGGACTGAGTTGGGAATGGGCAGCATACCGGGAAACGAATGAGCTGTAAAAACAAAAACAAAAGGTGACAATAAAACTTAAAAAAATTAAATGATATTATAGTCCAT